ATCTCACTTGGATCCACGATTTTGTATTTACCCACAGTTTGAAGTTATAATCAAATGGCGATTCTCCTTGGCACTAGAACCGTTTGCGTATCTTGAAGTCATGATTCGTGAGAAATCCAGGCTAGCCCCTGCTCCCAAAGAAAATACATCAAAAAAGAAAAAGGCGAAAGTTTTCGAAACGCGTTACGATAAGATGATAGGGAAAAGAGGGGTGAACGGGGTGGAGGGTGGAGAAAGAAGTGCAGAAAAAGATTGAAGATAAACGTCGTAGAAGTCGTATTGATAGTCAGCTCAGTAAATATTTGCAGAATGAGTTATTCTCGCGTACGCGAAGGGGAAAGGGGGAAATGACGCGGTATCCGTTTTCCATTGAACCCCCTACATGAGGAATGACCTTTGAATAGAAAAGCTATTGTGTATAGAGAATGTGACCGTTGGATGGATTTCTCAATTTGTACATATGCCAGAAAATAAAAAGCTCTACATACGTCACTGGAGAACGAGAAACCTGCATGCTTTCCTGCGCTCAACCGTAAAACAAGCGATTATCACCATAGCAGCTCGACGGGGGTTAGCACAAGCAAATCTGTTGCTAATAAAGGAGCAACACGAACCCATCAACAACACCTCGAGATCCTTTCTCGTCTTCTAGCTTATTGAGTCCTACAGTAGCCGATAGCAGTCCCAGCACGGAACTTCGTTCTTCTCCGAGATCTTTCGTCGTGAGCTTTTTTGAGAATTGTAGGTCATGACAGTCAAAGCGAGAAAATGCAGTGATAATATAGAGCATTAGCGAATGAGTCTGCGAGAAGCATTGAGGAGGGAGCTGAAAAATATGGGCGGGGTGTTTGATATTGATATTCCAAAACTACGATGCAAAAATGTGTTCGGGAGCTCATTTGTTTCCCCTTCCCTGCAGCATTTTTATGCAATTCTTGTGAGAACTCATATGCAGTGGTTCACACGTGCTGTTTAAAACCTGTTTTCATCGTATGGCTTTGCAGGCGGCGAAAAGAGCGAATCCGTGGGTTGCACCCTGCTAGAAGATTTCAATGCGAACAGTCTAGGGAATAATTGAACTGAACAAAACAACAAACAAAACAACAATTGAGCCGCTTTATTTTAAAGAAACTTTTTTATTTTTATCCTCCCAATAAGTGCATAAGTGCATAATAATCAGTGCATAAGTTCTGTGCCTTATCCGTAGTCTAA